GAGAAACCATCTGACTATTCCCCGGAGCATTCTTCAAAAGAACCTTACTCACAACATCATTTTGTTCAGCAGTATACTTCACAAGTTCCAGAAAATTTCCTTTATTATCAGAATTTTCTGACTCATCGTGGCCTCGAAACGGTAGTCCTTGTTTCAACAAAAATCTAGAAGAACTAATCGAGGCATTCAACCGAATACGATACTCGTTTCTCGTAATATCACTTTGCTTATGCATAGCATGTACGATAGATTGATCTTGCCTCATCAAATCATCATATTTTTTTCGTGCATTATTATGAAAACTATTAACATCATCCACATGAGCACTCAATCTCTCGGTCTTATTCCAACTAGAAAACCCATCTGTCACAAAAGCATCATTCTCAACTTGTTCTCTAAACAAGTAACAGCACAAACAAAATGCTCCATCTTTCTTTATACTGTACTCTAGCCAATCACCGTATTGGTCAAACCATACTGGATTAAATCGTCTTAATTTATTCCCTATCATCTTCTTTGGAAAGTCATGACCACGTGGTTGACAAGGTCCCCTAATCAAATATTTGCGTCGTATCTCATCTCTTTGATTAGGATGATACTCTAATATTTTTTTCTATCAGCCGGATCCGAAGGCAAATCATGTAAATCAATTTGCTCAGGTATTGAGGGCCTAACCTAAGAATTTGATATATTGCCGATTGGAGTTTTACCCCTATCTTGAGATATCGATGCAAAATTTCTTTTGAGAAATTTATCCATTGGTTTCTCTGTCAAATCAAAAATATGATTGAATAAATATTTGTAACAATAAATTTATAAATATGATCAAAACATAGAAATCGATGAACAAATACAAAATAAAAATTATTTCAAAAAAAATTATAACACATCCATACCTTTAATTTGGTTGTTCTTTATTTTTTTATATGGTTAAATATTAGATTTGGGAATTTTTTTTAGAGAACTGAGAAAGAGAGGGAAAATAAGAAAATAGATGAAAACAAAGAGAAACAATGAAGATGATTGTGTTTTTTTCAAAATAAATTTGTATTAGAAAACCTTTCATAATAATTTTGTATTAGAAAAAGGTTTAATTTTAAAAAAAAAAACAAAAAATAAAGAATACGAAACGGCGGTGACTAACAAACAAATAACCTAAATCTTTATAAAAATATAATAAAAAATAAAAAAACTCATAAGAGGGGGCCCACATAAAAACCTAACGGGGGCACTAGTGTAAATCTCTTCAAACTTTTAAATATATGAATGATTTTTTATTTTTTTGAGTGGGGTCCTGTGCCCCCACTCCTATATACTTACATCCGCCCCTGGTATAAAGTCTTGAATCTTGAGACTAATGTCATCTCTGTATCTCGACACGTGATCTTTCATGAATCTGTCTTTCCTTTTAAGTCTCAATCCTCATCAGGTTTTGTCTCGTCTCCACCTCTGGATGTTTTTCAGTTTCCTGGTTCTCTCCATTCCCTGTATGAGGATTTTTCTCCTTCTTCTTCTTGTCCTGTTCCTGATTCTTTTTCATCTTCTTCTCCTTCTGATTCTTCTAGTCCTTTTTTAGAGTCTTCTGCTGTGGTTGAACAACATGTTTTTCCAGTAAACACACGAAAATCTGACAGAAGGACAGCACCACCATCGTATCTAAAAGATTATCATTGTTATCTTTTGTCTCATTTACCCGTTTCCTCCTTATCTACCAATTCTGTTAACACCCCATATCTTATTTCTTCTTTCATTACCTATGATCATCTTGAACCCACATATCGAAATTTTGTCCTAAATATCACCACCACCCAAGAACCAAAATCTTTTTCCCAGGCAATTAAACATGATCACTGGAGGCAGGCTATGATTCTTGAACTTGATGCGCTTGCTCGGACAAAAACCTGGTCTGTTTGTTCTCTTCCACCAGGAAAACATGCTGTCGGTTGCAAATGGGTTTTTAAAATCAAATTTAATCCTGATGGGTCTGTTGAGAGACACAAAGTCCGATTGGTTGCTAAAGGATACACTCAACAAGAGGGAGTTGATTATTTAGATACCTTTAGTCCAATGGCAAAGATGACTACTGTTCGAGTTTTATTAGCTTTGGCTGCCTCTCATAACTGGCTTATTCAACAGCTTGATGTTTCCAATGCGTTTTTGAATGGAGACTTAGATGAAGAAATTTATATGACTTTACCTACTGGTTATGCTGAACTTAAGGGGGAGAAAGTTGAGCCTAACTCTGTTTGTCGGTTGAATAAGTCCCTCTATGGCCTTAAACAGGCTTCGAGACAATGGAATCAAAAATTGTCTCAAGTATTGTTGAATGCTGGTTTTCATCAGTCTCAGGCGGATAATTCCTTGTTTACTAAGCGTGTGGATTCTAAGTTTGTTGCTGCTCTTGTTTATGTTGATGACATCATGATTGTTGGTAATGAGTCTGTGATGATTCAAGAGCTGAAGGATGTGTTGCAATCTAATTTCCTGATTCGAGATTTGGGTGACATGAAGTATTTTCTTGGTTTGGAAGTTGCACGATCTAAATCAGGAATTTATGTCTGTCAACGGAAATACACTTTGGAATTGCTTGATGAGTATGGTATGCTTGGTTGTAAGCCTTCTACAACACCTATGGAGGTGAATCTGAAGTTGTCCATGGACTCGGGTGATTTGTTATCTGATCCTTCTTCTTACAGGAAGCTTGTTGGTAAGCTCATTTATCTTGCTGCGACAAGTCCTGATATTGGATTTTCTGTCAATAAGCTCAGCCAGTATATGGCTGCTCCAAGATCTGATCATTTACAAGCGGCCATGCGAGTATTGCGATACTTGAAACAAGATCCGGCACAGGGTTTATTGTACTCTTCTGAGCAGAATGTTACTCTTAGTGCGTTTTGTGATGCTGACTGGGCAACTTGCCCTGATTCTAGGAGGTCTGTTACAGGATATTGTGTCTTTCTCGGTCAATCCTTGATTTCTTGGAAGGTTAAGAAGCAAGTTACAGTTTCTCGGAGCTCAGCTGAAGCTGAGTATCGTTCCATGGCTCAGACGTGTTGTGAGTTAGTCTGGCTTGGTTCTCTGTTGCAGGATTTGTTCATTTTGTTCCCTCAACCGATTTCTTTGTTCTGTGATAGTCAATCGGCTATCCACATTGCGAGCAATCCGGTTTACCATGAACGAACCAATCATATAGAACTGGACTGTCATTATGTTCGTGAGCAGCTGAAGGCGGGCTATGTCAAACCGTTACATGTTTCGGGCAAGAATCAGGTGGCTGATCTTCTTACCAAACCGTTGTCTACTGATCAGTTTCGCTTTCTCTTGTCCAAGATGGGTGTTCATCATCTATTCCTCCCATCTTGAGGGGGAGTATCAAGGAGAGCAATCTTGCTGGTTCATATCGGTTATTTTCTTCTGGTTTGTTGGTTCGGTTTGTTATTTTTAGCTCTTTTTGAATATTTTCATTATTCCCGCCTTGCTACAGCTCGATGTATAAAAACTCTGGTTTCTCTTCTTATTTTGAATATAAGAAAATTGGCTCAAATTTATTCTCTCTGAAAACCCAGTCTCAATTTCTGAAAAACTTGTCAATGAAATCTTTCATAGAATGTAAAAATCTCTTTATAAATGGAGGAAAATTGGTCGGGACAAATGTAAACAGCCATCAAGAGAGATAGAAGATACCACAACTAAATAAATAAATAATTATTAAAAATCTAAACGATAAATGACCGAAAACAAAAGGCTAGAAGATTCGATAGACAAATAAAATGTGTATAAGATATGATCGATGTTGGCATAAATGTGGGAAATGATAATAATAAAAAACTGGCCGCTTAGCTGGATGCCACCGCCATCCCTTTTCCTACTAATAATAATATGCCTAATTGTTTTTATTTCCACTTTTTTCATTTTCGGCATAATTTATTTTTATGAATATACCGTAGACAGTTTATACATTAAATAATAAAAAATAAACTTATTCTCTTAAAATTATCATATTTTCGATTAGTACAAGTACGTGGTCGTCGAATTTTTGGACATAAAACCAAATAAATATATTTTAGAAACTTTTTTTATAAAAATATTTAAAAAAATATGAGATTTAGTGCAGGGAGTAAGATATTTCATCCATATTGTTAGCGACCTCTCTAATTTCGACGGTGTGTGGGAAATGTAATATCATAAATTTGTACAAAAGAATACAAAAATATTCACAAAAGCAAAATTTTGTATTAAACATATATTTTAATATAAAAGGAAATAAATAAAAAAATGGTGGCAACAGAATGTGGCAGATCAACAACATTTATGATATTAATAATTTAAGATCTAAGACCCATATATTAAAATGGTATCATTACCACATCGTTGCACCAACCCAATTAATAAAAAGAGAAAAATATCTCACAATAAAGAACACGTCTTATTCTCTAGCTTTAACTTAAATATTCATCAAGTGATTCGAATCCCTCAACATCTACGTAAAACATTTCTGGTAAATTCCTAAAATGACTCAAAACCAATAAAATATAATCCCAGTAAATAAATATATATATATTCATATTTCGTATCGGGCAAATAAAATAACTCTTTTTTTTTAACACAAAATAAACCCTCTATCTCATGTAGAAGCGTCTCGTTCTGGATCAATAAACTCCAACAAAACCGGGGCCCTTTTGCCAAGTAACTGTACCGGGCAATGGCATCTCGTAATTTCTTGGACTTCACAGGGGTATTTACGTCCCTGTACCCTGACCGTTTCTGGGATCAAATTACGTGGCAGCTCCTCCGACTGCCCAGAGAAGCATCTCTTACGAATCCAATTTTTTTTCCTAAACGGCAAAAACATTAAAAAAAAGAAATAATAACCTGACTTCCACAACCATGGTTAAGTTAATTAACCCCACACAGAATTTCTCAAAGCGCGAAGAAAGTCGCGAATCTTCGGATATTTACAGCCATGCCATCGCCGGACTTGGCTATAAATTTGGCGTTTTATACTCGCTAGGTTTGCCGAACCAACTAGCCTCAGGGGCCTTTTAGAAATTCTCTCCTGTTTCCTTCATATTTCTTTCGAATTCTTCTTTTCTGTGAAATTCAGAGGAAAACAATGGCGACCACATCGTCGAGAACGAGGTCTCGAGGAGGACCAGTGCTTCGCTCTCTATCGCCGTCGGGCCGTTTCTGTGGTTCCTACGCGCACACCGTGTCGTCTTCGTCGTCATCGGCGTTCGCTTCCTCCACCAGCTCCAGTTTCTCGTCTCCGTCGTCGGCCTTCTTCACCAGCCACCATCACCGTTCTGCGTCGCCGACGCGTGTCAATCTCTATACGACGGCTCCGCCGACCCAGTCGTTTCGGTTCTCGATTGACACCAGATCCATCTCTCCGAATAGATCTATCGCCTTCTCGAAGCCGAGCAGCCACCAGATTTCTGAGCCGAGGAAGAGGTGTATGTGCTCGCCGACGACGCATCCTGGATCTTTTCGCTGCAGTCTCCACAAGAACTTGGCTAATCCTCACGGTCAAGGTTCGGCGTCGTATCCGTCGAACCGGTTGAATATGCGTAGATCGGCAATGACGAATTCTCTGGTGAGAATCGGTGGCGTCGAAGGAGAGTGGGTAAGGAGAGCATTGACAGCGCTGATACGTCCGTCGTCGCACCAACTGAGGAGACGAGCGGCGTTTCAGCCTCGTCCGAGTCGGCTCTCGGTCATGTCGAAAGCCGACAATCATTGATCGGCTTACAGATACGATCAATCAGGTTTGTTCTTCTTTTTGAAACGGCTGCGGCAAAAAATTTCTGGTGTGGCAATGGATGAAGGGGCACGGAACCGGCGAAGACGACTGGCTCTGAAGCGAACGGAGTCTTGGATCTGCCCGGGCGAGTCAAGTCAAGGAGTTGCCGAGTCAAGACCGGCGAGATCTACGGTTGTGGGTCCGAGTCAACTCGGACCGAGTTTTTTTAAAAAGATATAGTAGTTTTGTTGGGTGAAGATGATAGGATGCAAATGTATATACTCAATATTGCTGTTGAAACACTAAGTTTCGTACTCCCGAAATGACCTAAAATTCAAAATAGAATCCGGTAACCAACGACAAAGATCAAAGTGACTGAGAAGTATATGAACCCAAATCAGAAATCAAGAGAGAAGTGAGTAGAAGAGTTTTGTGTTTCTTGTGGTTGAACTCTCGTTCCTTGTGTTTGCAGCGTTTTGCGTTCCGTCAACTTCTTCCCAAAGTCCGTCACGGGATCCGTCACCATTGCCGTTTCGCCCGTTATTTCCCAGGTTTGCGTTGATTCGTCGTGTGAGGTACTATAATCTTTTCCCTTCATCTGCTATTTTTATCTGTTGCGTTCCGTTTCGTTTCCCTGTGAACGCTTGATCTGTTTTTTTGTTTCAGGAAAAAATGGAGCTGTGCTCTGTTTGATGTGGAGATTCGTAGAATGGAGTTTGGACAAATAAAAACTCACACGGCAAGATTAAAAAAAAAAACCAGAATTAGTTGGAATTGTTTTTAGAAGATCTTTAGTGGCAAAATCTTGAAAAATTATTCGAATTGAACACCAGAATGAACATGTGAAAAAATTGCAAGTAAAACACAAGATGGCAGAAAGTGAAAATTGTGAAAAGAATGTAGGGTAGTTTGGGAAATGAAAAAAGTATTGGGATTGTGATAAAGGGCGAACAGATCAGAGTGCCTTCCAGACAAGCGGAGACGGGAACATAATTTTTACACAAATAATATACCAGTTTTAAAATTATTTGACAGATAATATAATCTTAATATTTTCTAACAGTTATATAAAGTTCAGATGACCATTATCTATCGACACGAATGACAAGACTTGTTTATGGATCTTAAAAATAATTGAAAATAGTTTTTCCCTGTTTGGTGAAATGGAAACAAACTCAAGTAGGTGGAACGTGAGAAGGTCATGTGAAATCCGACAAGGCAATGAAGCTGTTCCCGTATTATGGGGAGATTATTAGATTTCAACACTTTGGTAATTCGGATCTTCGCATATCAACAAAAATATCAAGTATAAAATAAAAATAGTTTTCGAGATCACAGCTATTAATTTGACTATCTCCAGTGTTATTAAAAAAAAATACACACGTTTTTTAATCAATAGGACAACATGCGATTTTAATCTAATCGAGCGACATACCAAGTTGAAATTAATTATAAAAAAAAGCTACACTTGCTTGTATATACGTTTGTTTGAAGTCGCACAATCTAGGAGGCGATTGTAAAAAAAGGAAGATCGCCAAAAAAAATATGTACTCTTCAAATGTCGATAAAAAAGCTCTGTACATTTACGTTTTAACAGAAAAATACATATACTTTGTAAATATTAGTAAATTCAACCTCATCCCCGAATGCCGTTAAAATTCAGATGGAAGTATGAGGTGGCAACGTTAAAATGCCACGTAATCTGACATGTGGTTGTCATGTAGACTATAAACCGAAATTATTAACCAAATTAAAAATTACATAAAACCGAATCCAATTTCTAAAAATCTATCATTTTAAATTAAAATCATTAAAATCTCCCTCCAGTCTGAAAAACGACGGACCAAAGCCTTAACCCTAAAAAACCTTCGACAGAGACTCTCCCATTTCGACAGAGAGCGAATCTCAATTCTTCTCCTTTTTTCATCAATCCTTTGACAGAAAAGAGATTCAATTCGGCAATCCCATTTCTTCTTCTCCAGTTTCGCATTTCGATAGGTTAGGGTTCGTTTTGCATTTTTCTGTTTTCGGTTTTTTCTTCCTTGATGATATTTGATGTTTTTCTTGTTATATTTGTGTTTTTTTACAGAATGTTAGAAGAAGAAGGAAGTATTGTGAATTTAGAACAGGTATATGAGAAAGAAACAGAAGGTTTCTGTGAAGGGTCTGAAGATGGAAAAAATGTTTCAGATGGTGGTGCTGATGGTATAGATGATGAGGTTGATTACAGTGATGGAATACTTGGTTCAGATGGTCTAGGCTTAGATGAAGAAGCAGGTGATCAAATGCTTGAGTATGAGAGTGACAATTTACACTTGCAAATGCTTGAGTATGTGAGTGACGAGGAATACTATAGAAAGAGAAAAACTGAAGAGTTTCCGAATACACCAGAAAATTCAGAAAATGAATGGGCGGAGTTCAATCATCCAGAGAAAGACAAACAAAAGAGCAGAGATGGGTCTGAAAATTCGAAGAAACATAATCTTTATTTAGGTAAGATATTTAACACAGGTGAAAACTTTAAAGAAGCTATGCTTGAATATGTGCTTGCTACAAAACACAATGTCAAGTTCACGAGAAGTGAAAGCACCAGGTGTGAAGCAAAATGCGTTATAGAAGGATGTGAATGGAGGATATATTGTTCTGTCCATACAGCGGTGGAGAAATGGATGATCAAGACATTTAATTTTGATCATAACCATCGAAAAAGGGGTCGGGCTGCAATGTTGACATCAAGACGTATAGCGAAGTTGTTTGCCGAGGACATCAGGATGCAACCATCTATATCAGCCAAGTTGCCATAAGTGTTTTAAGGCTCGGCAGATTGCTTTGGGTTTAGTGATGGAAAGTCAAGAAGTGCATTTTGCTAAGTTGTGGGATTATGAAGCAGAGTTGCTTAGATCTAATCCCAATACGACTGTCGAAGTTGGCAAAGACCAAAGAGAAGGTTATGAGAATTTTTTTGACAGATTCTACGTTTGTTTCGAGGCATTGCGTAACACTTGGAAGCGTTGTTGTCGTCCAATTATAGGATTGGACGGTTGTTTCTTAAAGTGCTCTTTCAAGGGTGAATTACTTGCAGCCGTTGGTAGAGATGCCGATAACAGAATTTATCCCATTGCTTGGGCTATGGTACGTGTTGAGAATATCGATACGTGGATGTGGTTTGTTAGGAAATTGAAAGTCGATATAGGTCTTGGTGAAGGGCAAGGGATTACAATACAGTCTCACAAGCAAAAGGTAATTATTAATGCTAAATATCTGAATTACATATATTGTTTGATATACTAAAGTATGGCTGAATGTTTTGTGTTTGTTAGGGTTTAATAAATGCAATCGAAAAAGAATTGCCAAGTTGTGACCATCGTATGTGTGCAGGACACATATACGAAAGAGTTCAAGGATGCCTATTTAAGGAAGTATTTCTGGATGGCTGCATATAGTTTCCATCAAGGTAACAAATCAAGGATACCTCGTAAAGAAAGTATGTGTTCTGTATTTTGATACGACATATTCATTACATTGTTATTAAATGTGTAGGTGAATTTGCTGCTAAGATCATGGAAGCTTTGAAAGCCATAAACCCAGCTGCTCATGATGCATTACTTGTGACTAATCCTAAACATTGGTCCAGAGCTTACTTTCGAGAAGTAACAAAATGTGGAGATATAAACAACAACCTTAACGAGAGTTTCAATGCCTCGATCAAAGACGCTCGGATGCGACCATTGATAGACATGTTCGAGGATATTCGGAGACAAACAATGCAAAGGATTGTAAAGAGATCGATAGAGATTAGTAAGTATGCCAATGAGTTCACCCCGTATGCAATGGAAGAGTTAGAGACTGCTCCGGAAAAAAAGTGGATATTGTATGGTTATACCAAGCGAGCATGGTAAATATGAGGTCTTGAATTTAGGTCAGAGCTATACAGTAGATCTCGGTTTAAAGACATGCGCGTGTCGGCAGTGGGATGTAACGGGGATTCCATGTTGTCATGCTTTGGCTGTCCTTAACCAGAAACAAGAAAGTTTGACATTGTAAGTAACAAATTTATTTTCTGTTTCACACTTATTTTCTATTCTAATATATTATGTTTTGTTTGCTTTATCAGATATGTTTCAGACTAATTTTCAAAGGCAAAATGGGCAGCAACATATGAACAAAACATTGTGCATGTTAATGGGCAAAACATTGCCACAGAATTTTTCAGCTGGTGGTTCATCGTTGCCTTCTCAATCGACTATTCCTCCTCGTCGTTCAAGGATTATCATTTCTCCGCAAATAGGCAGAAAGTTCAGCATCCCAAGACAAAAGCCAAACTGATTTGCTATGTTTTTGTTGTGTTAGAGCTATGTTTTGTTGTGTTGGAAATTTATATTTTGTGGTATGTTGAAGCTATGTTATTTTGTTGTATTGGGAACCTGAAATATGTCTGATTGGTTGGGTTAAACCTATGTAATTGTGGACCGATGTTTTATGTGTTATGAAATGGTTATGTTTTTGTTTCTTTGTGTCATCTTATTTTTCTATATTCATAAACGTTCCATATTTAACATCATAAAACAACAACAAAACATGATTTCATTAACAACAACAGATCTGATTCATCAACAACAAAACATGACTTCAAACTCGACTTAATACACAAACAACAATCCCTGGTAATACATAAACAATATCATTATTATTGTCACTGCAACAAGGGGTGTCAAAAAGACCCGAGGCCCGTTACCCGGCCCGAGCCCGCCCGTAAAATTTACAAGCTTGGACCTAAGAAATTGAAGCTCGGTCGTCAATCGGGCCGGGCCAGCCCGACCCGAAAAATACGGGCCAAAATGCGGGCTCAGGCCGGGCTAGCCCGACTCGGCCCGTCGGCCCAAAAAAATAATATATTATATATTATATAATATATATATATAGATATAGATAAATATATATACATACATGCATAAATATATACATATTAATTCACTAATATTAAAATAAAATTTGTTATTATATAAAAATTAAAAAATCTGAGTTTTAATTTCTCTTAAATTCACATATATATTAATAAATATTTTTATCAAAACTTGTTACCCGCCCCGAGCCCGCCCGTAAAATTTACGGACTTGGGCCTAAGAAATTGAAGCCCGGTCGTTCATCAAGCCGGGCCGGCCCGGCCCGAAAAATACGGGCCAAATACGGGGTCGGGTCAGACTAGCCCGTCCTGGCCCGTCGGCCCGAAAAAATAATATATTATATATTATATAATATAAATATATATAGATATAGATAAATATATATACATATATACATAAATATATACATATGAATTCACTAATATTAAAATAAATTTTATTATTATATAAAAATTAAAAAATCTGAGTTTTAATTTTCTTAAATTTACATATATATTAATAAATGTTTTTATCAAAACTTTATTTTTTTATTATCTTTAGTATATGTTAATTTTTTTCTATTTAATTTGATAATTTTTTATTAATAATTTTTATTTTTATTTTGTTATTATTTTTATAAAAAAAAAACCCGAAGCCCGGTCCGAACCCAAAAAAAGTCCATTGGGCTGGGCCTCGGGCCCAAGATTTTAAGCCCGTGTGTGTTTCGGGTCGGGCCGACCCGGCCCGTAATTCTTCGGGTTTTTGTCGGGCTCGGGCCGGGCCGGTCCGGCCCGACCATTTTGACACCCCTAACTGCAACAACCACCTTGAATCCATTTGTTTTGCACTTCACATTCCCCTTCTGCAATTCAACATTGATCATCCGCAACTCGACTTTGAATACTTCAAATCCCGACTTCACTTCCAACTTCAATTTCTGTAACTCGTTTTGAATCTCTTTCATGTCTTCAATTAGTGCATCATCAAGCCATTTGAAATAATGTTGAAATTTTTTCTGCCATAAAACATATCTTACGCGATTATGAATGACTAACGACCACAAACATATATTGTCGAAACAAACACGAACCTCTTGAGATGAACAACTAAAAAAAATTCTTCCAGGATTCTTTTCTGTGTTTGATGTCTTTCGTGAAATTGGTCTTCCGCAATCACATTGAGTTCGTACACATTTAGACACACTTGACTCACTCTTTGACAAAGAAGAACGTTCATCGGAGTTGTAACTCATCTCTACAAATTAACAAAAAAAACATCATGAATAATAAATATATTACTTGAAATTGGAACAAAAAACATCTAATTTTCGTAAATGGTAAAAAAAAACCCCAAATTGCATAAGAGAGAGTACAAAAATATGTAAAAAATTAGAGAGAGAAACATAAGATCTGTAAAAGATAGAGAAAAAAAGAGATGAAACACCCAAATGTTTACCTGTCAGGAGAGAAAGCTGAGTATCACACGAATGAGGAGAAGCATATTAATGAAAAAAAAATTCTTCGGAGGGAAAACTGATGAGAGCATGTAGAGTGGGAGGCGAGAGAGAGATAAAATACAATATCTAGGGCTAGGTTTTTTAATGTTTTTTTTCATTTTCGGTTTTTCAAAACCAGATTTTTTATTCATTAAAATCGGGTCTACATGGCAGCCATATGTCAGATTACGTGGCATTTTAACGTTGCCACCTCATACTTCCATCTGAATTTTAACGGCATTCGGGGGTGAGGTTGAATTTACTAATATTTACAAAATATATGTATTTTTTTTGCTAAAACGTAAATGTACAGGGTTTTTTTTGTAATAAAAAAAGTATAGGTTTTTTTGTCGACATTTGAAGAGTACAGGATTTTTTTGGCGATTTTTCCTAAAAAAAATTAGGCCAAACCGACCTTAAGATAGAAACAAAATGATAATGAGAGAGTGAATTTAATTAGATATGAACCAAATGACAGCATGCTCAAAAGCCATTCTAACACACACACACACGTGTGTATATATATATATATATATATATATATATATATATATATGGGATCAACTTTAGGAGTGAAGTCTCTAATTAAACGGAAGAATTGATGAATCTTTCTTGTTTTTTCATTGCAAGAAAACAAAAAGATAGATGAGTTTGGCAAAACCAATCGGAGACCCAAAAGCCAAAAAAGTAGACCCAACCGCACGACTCGTATAGCTCTGTGTGTGTTAGAATGGCTTTTGAGCACTGTCATTTGGTCCATTAGCTCGTTTGGATGCTGAGTTAACTTTTTAGATTTCTGAATACAAGGAACTGAGTTTTTAATATTGGAATCGGACGTGGATAAATCACTGTTAGACAACTAAATTAACACGAGAAAAATAAATAATGGGACACCAAAAATTTATGTAGTTCGGCAGAATGCCTACGTCCACGGGTGAACCCTAGAAGGATTTATACCGACTGTTAAAGAATTACAATCTTTCTCTCTGTTATAAGGAGAATACAATATTAATTCTCTCTTAAACACGAAAACTAAACATTTAGGAACAAAGAGGAAAACACCCGAAAAATAGAAGATACACGATTTTTTTTCACTCTTTTTTTCTTTTTCTCTCCTTTTACCCTTTGTGTTTTTGCTTTGATGAGAATTATTTATCAGGGCTCGTATCATCGCCTTACATAGGCAAAGGGATGGAGATAACTCCAAAATGATGGGGCCCACAATTAGTAAAAATTTTCAGCAATGCACAACACCGTCATGCATTGCCACCACTTTTTGACAAAAGTGGTTTTGCCTTTTTTTCCTTTCATTCTCCCATTCAAAATCACTTTTGTTGTATTCCTTCTTTCTTTCTACTTCATCATCTCCATGTTGCTTACATCTCTACTAGAGCCATAGAAGATCGATACCAGATGAATTTGTCATTGTTTACTGGCTTTGTCAATATATCCGCCATGTTTGCCTCCGTATGGATTTTCTGAATATCCACACTGTCTTCCTCCACCTTCTCCCGTACAAAATGATATTGTACCCGTATATGCTTCGTCCTTGGATGAAATGTTGGATTCTTTACTAAATGCAAAGCGCTTTGACTATCACAGAACAAGACAATATTATCTTGTCTGTGTCCAAGCTCCTCCATTAACATTTGCAATCAAATTGCCTATTTGCTGGCTTGTGTAGCCATCACATACTCAGCCTCCGTCGTAGATATCACCACGATAGATTGCAGTTTTGAAACCCAGCTTACAGCTCCTCCTGCAAGAGCAAACACGTATCCAATGGTGGACTTGCTTTTGCCGAGGTCACCAGCGTAATCTGAATCAACGTATCCAGTAACAATCATGTCTGACCCTCCATAACATAATGCAATATTTGTGGTGCCCTTTAGGTATCTCAGGATCCTCTTCACATCACTCCAATGCTCAACTCCAGGATTTGTCATGTATCGACTGATCACTCCCACTGCTTGAGCAATGTCTGGTCTAGTACAGACCATGGCAAACATCAAACGACCCACTGCTGATGCATACGGTACTCAAGACATCTCCATCCTCTGTGCTTCGCTGCTATGACTCATCTTGGAGGATAACTTGAAATTTATAAGAAGAGGGGTAGATATTGGCTTGCAATCTTGCATGTTGAAGCGACATAAGATCTTTACATAGTTCCTTTGTGAAAGCCAAATTTTTCTACGATTTCTGTCTCTGTGAATTTGCATCCCAAGAATCTTGTTTGCTTGGCCCAAGTCCTTCATTTCAAACTCCCTAGCCAACTGAGCCTTTAATTCTTTCAAACGATCTTTGTTGGGGCCTAGTATTAACATGTCGTCGATGTACAACAGTAGAATCACGAAATCACCATCACCAAATCTCTTGTGGTATGTACAAGGATTTGCATTCAGTCTGTTGTATCCAAGGTTCATGATGAAAGAATCAAATCTCTTATACTAACATTTCGGCACCTGTTTGAGACCGTATAGAGATTTGTTCAGCCTGCAAACCAAGTTCTCTTTTCTTTTTTCTTTGAATCCTTCTGATTGTAGCATGTATATGTCTTCTTCAAGTTCTTCATGAAGAAATGCAGTTTTCACATCCAACTACTCTAGGTGAATATCCAAAGTAGCACACATTGCCAGGACTATTTGCACTATTGTTAGTCGAACAACAGGAGAGAATATCTCGTTGAAGTCAACCCCTTCTTTATGAGAAAACCCCTTTACCACCAATCTAGCACGATACCACTCCACTTGATCATTGTCATCACGTTTGATCTTGTAGATCCATTTGTTCCCAATGGTTTTTCTCCCTTGTGGTAATGGAACAAGATCCCAAGTCTTATTCTTATGAAGGGCTTCCATTTCTTCTTGCATTGCTGTCATCCACAGGGATGAATCTTGGCTTTGTATAGTTTCATCGAAAGTCGATGGTTCTCCATCCTCCGTTAATAGAGAGTATGCAACATTTTCCTCCATAACATAATCCTCCTGCCAAATTGGTCTTCTTTTTTCGCGATTTGATCGTCGAAGTTGTGTGATAGAGACTCAGTTTGTACTTGTTCATCATGCTCCGGTACATCTTCAGAAGAATTTAGTATTTGATGTTTCCCTTGATCTTCAACGTTAACTGTCACCGTCTATGGTCTTTCCTTTGATATGCTATCATTTTCCACATTTCCTTCTACAAACACGATGTCTCTGCTGATTATGACCTTGTGGGCAGTGGGATCCCACAAACGATACCCCTTGACTCCATCAGCATACCATAAGAAAAACACTTTCTAGATTTTGGATCTAGTTTAGTTGTTTCTTGGGTGTTGTACATCGCACACGTCGTACTTCCAAACATATGGAGTTGAGAATAATCCTGTCCACATCATCGTTGGTGTCTTCAGATCAATTACGGTTGATGGAGACCGATTGATCATATAACAGGCGGTCATGACTGCTTTAGCCCAAAACGTGTTGGCCAATTATGCAGATCTCAACATTGCCCTTGTTCTTTCCAATGGGGTTCTGTTCATCCGCTCTGCTACACTATTTTGTTGAGGTGTGTAAGCCATCGTGAACTGCCTCTTGATGCCTTCTTGTTGACAGAACTGGTTGAATTCATCGCCAATATATTCTCCTCCATTGTCTGTTCTTAGACACGATCTTCATTCCGGATTCAAGCTCGACACGTGCTTTGAAGATTTTGAAAGCTTCAAATACATTTGACTTCTTCTTGATGGGGTACACCCAACATCTCCTAGAGTAAACATCAATGAAAGATACAAAGTATCTTGCACCTCCTAAGGACGTCACCGGTGCTTGCCAAACATCAGAATGAATAAGGTCTAGGATAGCCTTACTTCTAGCAGTTGAACTACTGAACTTCAATCTATGTTGCTTACTTGTAACACAATGCTCATAAAAGGGTAGTGCCACCCTTTTGAACCTGGGGAGAAGATCTTGTTCTGCAAGAATCTTCAAGCCTCGTTCCGACATATGACCAAGCTTTTTGTGCCACAACATCGTCGATTCTTCTGCTGATTTTGATTTTGCGACACTTGCTTCTCCTTCCCGTAATGTCTCTCCTTTAAACATGTACAGATTTTCCACCACCTTTTCAGCTTTAATCTCCACAAGCGCATCTTTGACAATGGTCATGATCACATTATCAATATGGGTTTTGCACCCAACATCATCTAATTGTCCAATTGACAATAGATTTTTTTTCAAGCCTTTCAAGTACCGTACCCTTTGAATGGTGCGACTACACCATCGTCCGATTTTTCACCGTTTTTCGATCAGACACCTCGAAAAAATTTCTCGTGAAACAAACAGAGAGAAATGAGTGGAAGATCTTACCTCCTCCAGGTTTTGAAGAAGAAAAGCCTCGGATCAGAGAGAGAAACTGCTTCTGCAGGTGACTTTCTCGCCGTATGTTCTCTGTCGTTCTGCTCTGTCATTCCCAAGACGGATTTTGAATTTTGAATGTCGTTTTACAATTTTTGTATTTGTCGTAATGGGACGAAAATTATAAATGGGTCTAAATCATGAGCCTAATAAACTAAGAAGAATTCTTGAGGACCAAATTTTAAACTTTTTTTGGCTCATGATGAAAAGAGAAATTAGGTATATTATAAGATTTGATCCAATTTAAATAATTCCACGATTTAAACAAAATGTAATATTTATTCTCACGTAAAAATTTGATGCAATCTAGAATGCATGTCGTAGTATCTTATATTCATAAACTTGTATTCTGATGTGTCATGAGAAGTGACATCGGTCGTCATGAGAAGTGACACACGCGTGAGGTGTATATTATTGCGTGAAGAGACGACCAACATCATGCGATGTGACGGACATGAGAGGTGCTCCTAGTCATACGATGTGACTAGGATTTATGGCTTACCATATGGTGTGAAGCCATATGGGAACGATGGTCGCGCGAAGCGATGGCCAACGTCATGCGATGTGACGGACGTGCGAGACGCTCCTAGTATTGCGATGTGACTAAGGTTTACGACTAACTTTATGGTGTGAAGCCATACAGATTTGATTGTCGTGCGATGCGACGGCCAACGTCATGCGATGTAATGGGCGTATGAGACGCTCCTAGTCGTGCGATGTGTCTAGTGTTTATGGTTAACCCTATGGCGGAGGCCATACGGGCAAGATGTTGTTGTATTTCCGTTGTGTCATATGAAATGACATCGGTAGTCACTCGATGTGACAAGCGCTTGAGGCGATATTGTCGTGTGATGCGACGACCAATATCACGAGAAATGACAGGCATGTGAGGCGCACCTAATCATGCGGTGTAACTAGGGTTTGTGACTAACTCTATGGCGTGAGGTCATACGAGCATGATGTGATTGTATTTTGGAGGGATTTGTGTATATGCTTAATGTTGAAAGTTATATTTTGTATTTTATCGTTTTAACACCGTTCTCGTTGAGAACGAGTTTATCGGATTCAACCCGGAGTATTCATTAAACAGTTGTGTTTAGCCCTCGTGGTTTCATCTTTTTCAGATTACGAGGAGCACGAGTAGCGCACCTTGGATGTCGACGACTTAAGAGAGACAGCACTATGCCGGGGTCTTGTATTTGCAGTTGAACTCGGGACCATGATCCCAGACTCTCGTGTTTGTGCTAAATTACGATAATGGATATGTGTTATTATACTTAATGTTGGACGTTTCAAATTCCGCTGCATATTTATAAAATAAAAGGTTTTTAAAATTTCTATATTTTGGTTTAGTATTATTTTATTGATTTTAGTCGATGTGGTACATCCTATTTACGGGAATCGGGATACGGGAATCACAGACGTAGACGTGTTACCCGAACTTGGAAACTAACGGAGACTGGACATATAATTTCGATTTTCCAGGAGGCCAGATGGGTAACCAAATCAGCCGAAGTAGCAACATGATGAATACGACAGATTATTCGAGGTTTCTTGTGCCTCAAACATACTAGAACAATGCATTTCAACATCTGAGTGGCTTCAACGCGAACAATATGGGTTTTCAAACACAGCTTCCGCAGATTCAGACAACAACTACTACTCTTCAATAGCTTGGAATCCAACCATAGCCTGCAGTTTCAAGAATGTTCTCTAGATTTTAACTATATAACTATAAGATTGTATTTCTCTCTAACAATTTCTTTTTAACTCAAGGGATGACACAAAGCACGGTAATCTATCCAGAAGCAAGACTACGCAAATGAACAAACAGACAGATCTTTTACGCAAACTGTGTTAAAAAAAAAGAGCCAAAGTAATTGTAAAACAAATATTAAGGTGGAAATGCTTTTTAAAAAAAAAATAAAAAAGTTACTCATGTTGCATTTTGTGATATATTTCTCTAGTATATAATACAAGGACTAATTCTGTATATTTCATCAGTACATATTAATAGTGTACAACATTAGAATTTTGACTGTATAATCGGTTTAAGTATGAATCCTAAACTGTTTAGGATTATGTTCGATTATATTCAATTTCAGTTGTTTTATTTTTAGAAAAACTATTATCATTCGGTTTGATTCTATTTTTCAAGTTCGGTTTGAAATCGATTTTTCTTGTTAAAAAACTCAATTTTCAAATATAATTTTCAGTTTTTTTATTCGATTTGGTTCAGTTTGAATTTAATTTTTTTTTAGAGACATTACAATTATTCGGTTTTTTATATCGAATTGATTCGAAACCATTCGATTGTTCAATTTATTAACTAAATCGTTCACCCTTAATTATTACAACACGATAATTTTTTAAGGAAAATTTTAGTTTGATCAGTTTATAAAATGCCCAATTTGAAATTGGTAATTCAGTTATCAAACCCCATTAGACATAGTAAGGGGCCCTCCAAATCATGATGTCCAAAATATCTTTACTAAGCCCATTTAGGGCCCATGACATTTAAGAGACCATCCATATATACACGTATATCTGTATATCTACATCCGTATTGTACATATGCATATCCTTGCATACATGCACTCCCATCTCCCAAGTAATTGATCCAACGCATCCAGTTTTTTTCTCTTTTTTTTTTCTGAACATGAAACTCCCTTTTAAGGTAGTAAATGAACAAATAATGCAAGTGGAATTTTAGATCAAATTAGATTTCCTCCATCATTTTTATCAGATATATTGACTAATAAATTCTTGATAGTTTGTCAAACAGATCAGATTTATTTAAATTTTTAGGAAAATTTTGAAATGCTTAGGCAAAATAACAAAAAATAATATTCCAAATTCAGAAAATTGTAGAGCATTCAAGATTTCTTTCTCTTATGGGATATTAATACAATGCATGAATGCATGGTAACACTGAATGCAAATCCAACGCATCTGGGGGTATATTTGTCATTTCAGTACCTCGTTTTTTGTTTTTATTTTTCCAAATTCGATTTAACAAACTTGTTTCACTCCGCGCCTTCTCATTTCATCACCCTCTTTCTTATTCTCTGAAAATTTCCCCGAGAAAACATTTTCTCAGTAATCAAACAGTAGATTTCTATTGAGAAAACATTCTGAAATGGATCGCTTCCAGAGCAGATACAATTTCATATCCATTTTCTTGGGATCCATGGCGATTTTGTGTGTGATCTCTTGGTGTTCGACCTCCTTCTTCGACTATTCTCTTCTGAGATTTCGATTTTCACCACCAGTGGGTGACTTGAAGAAAAGTTTCTACGCTGACTACGAGAACACAAATGTCGATTCGTTAGGTTTATCTGATCAATCGAGTAATATCAGCGTAAGTATTTCTTCATCTCTCTGTTTTAACAGAAACCGGAGAGATTTTTTTCCAGATAAATCTCTTTGAAATCGAGAATATCCAAACAGAGACGCTTTACACATCGCCATATCAATGTGTATGATCCATCTCACTTGTATCTGCGACCTCTTTCTGTTCTGAAATTTGAATTTTCGTTTCATATTTGAACTGAGTATATCTCATCTTCTTCAACTCCCTTCCGACTAGAGGACACTTTCAATTTTCCGTTTCATATTTCATCTTCTGATTCAGGTAGAGAATTCAGCGAGTTTGGGATCCCGGTTTGGTTTCAGAATTCGATTCAGGTTACGTTTCTGAAACCGGGAATTAACTTTTATAATTTGAATGTCTCAAGCATCAATTGCAGAAGAAACAGAGAAAGCTAACCAAAGAGGAAGAGCTCGAACGAGGACTAGCCAAGGCTCGAGCATCGATTCTTCGGGCGGCTTCTGATCGTAACACTACAGAATACGAAAGCCACCTTCCCAACGCAGAAGTCTACCATAATCCCGCCGCTTTCTATCGGTGAGATTTTAATTAATTACTATGCTAATTCACTTTACGCCAAAAAAAAAAATCAACGGTTCGAAAAGTATTTTCCGGTTTTTTTTTTATAAGCGTTAATTTTGAGTAGGCATTTTTTTTAAACTGCTTAGCTCGTGGCAAATTCTCCCTGTTTAATTGTCATATTTTGTACGTGGAAATGTATTATGCGATGCACATTTAGAATAAGGATTCTTCAAATTGACGCCAAAGAGTGTATGATGAACAGCAGCCACTCGACTCAAGTTTCATCTCCTTTTCCTAACACGCCACTAGTATCATAGTCTGCGGAAAAAGCTGTGCCAACTTATGATTAATGATGAACCCTGTTTTGTTATTTATTACTTCTTAAGTTTAGCTTACTCGTTTAATGTTTGGAAGAATCTCCGAAAGTATATTTTTTGGATTATAATTATTGCTGATGTTAATGAATCTGGCAGTTTGCAATTGAGAGATGATTTTATGTCATTTTTATCTCTGAGGATGTGGGTATAAGTTAATGTCTGTCTGATTCTGCCATGGTTTTTTATGTTTGTAGAATCCACAATTGGTCAGCTAAGGACAGTTCACTTAACCGAATAGATACAGTACCATTTATTCAGATTAGCAGCATTGACATTGATGTGAGTTTCTAATATGATGGCTTGAATTGAATTGAACAAGTTTACAGGAGTTATGTGGAGATGGAGAAGAGGTTCAGGGTCTATGTATATGAAGAAGGGGTGCTTCCGTTAGTTCACGACGGACCGTGCAAGGACGTATACGCTGTGGAAGGCAGGTTTATACACGAAATAGAAAGAGGGAAAACGAGGTTCAGGACACGGGATCCATTAAAGGCCCACGTTTACTTCATGCCCTTCAGTGTGACATTTCTTGTGAAGTACTTGTACCAAGGTCACGGCGACGCCAAGCCTCTGAAGCGGTTCGTGTCTGACTACGTGACAACGATATCCAGCAAGTACCCTTTTTGGAATAGATCCAGTGGGGCTGACCACTTCATGCTTGCTTGTCATGATTGGGTAAGGATTCACCTTTCCTTTCTCTTGTTACGTCCCTTATGTCTCTGTTTTTCTCTTCGTAACTCTATCATGCTCTGCCCATCATCCTCCTTGCACAAAAGTGAAATTTCTTGGTCAAGGATTCGCTTCCACATTGGTTTTCGGTAGAATTTGTTGTTAGCATATTATAGATATTTAGCATCTTACTGTATTATTTTTCGTCTCAGCTAATGATCATAAACTATGTCAACTAATATTACATTATTCTCGGGTGTCCTATTGCTACCAATGCAGGGTCCTCTCGTTTCAAAATCCAATCCGCATCTCTTCAACACATCGATCCGAGTCTTGTGTAACGCCAACTCATCCGAAGGATTCAACCCGAAAAAAGACGCATCCCTCCCCGAAATCAAATTATACGGCAGCGAAATAAACCCCAAACTCACACTTTCCAAAACTGGGGATTACTCTCAAAGGCCGTACCTCGCCTTCTTTGCAGGCGGACTCCATGGACCCATCAGACCAATCCTCCTAGAACACTGGAAACACCGTGACCCCGACATGCCCGTCCACGAGTACCTCCCGAAAAACCTAAACTTTTACGACTTCATGCTACAATCAAAGTTCTGCCTCTGCCCGAGCGGATACGAAGTGGCTAGCCCACGTGTCATCGAGTCCATCTACGCAGAATGCGTGCCGGTGATCCTTTCCAAGAACTTTGTGTTGCCTCTCAGCGATGTGCTGAGGTGGGAGACGTTCTCCGTACAAGTCGACGTGTCGGAGATTCCGAGGTTGAAGGAGATTCTGATGTCGGTGTCCGAAGAAAAGTACAGATGGCTCAGACGCAACTTGCAGTACGTGAGGAGGCATTTCGTCCTGAATCAGCCTCCAGAGAGGTTCGATGCCTTTCACACCACTCTTCACTCCATTTGGCTTCGCCGAATTAATTTCGCCCTCGCTTAAAAGGTACCATCTTTTCAGTTTTCTCTACATGAAGATTTAGATTTTGCCTGCTATATACATACATGTATATGCTCCCGTATTATCCAAGATTTGATTTTATTATTAGGTATTGTCTTAATAATCTCTCTATATCTATTAAAGCGTATCTATCTCATATGAAGCTAATTGGTTGAAGGGAAACACCAAAAAAAAAACAGTATATACGAAACATTATAGGTAATGAAAACTAAATTCATTGATTTCCCCATCTTTGGATGATGACTCAATACCATTTTCAATATACAAATGGATAAAACATCAGTTGAGATAATAATAACGTCGGATCACTTGGTCGGGACGAAGTTGAGAGACAGACATTCCATCAGCGACCGCAGGATCTCGGCGAGGGAGAAGCGGTGGCGTTGCGGTCTGCGATCAGCGTTTGTGTTTGCGTTATCATTGTCGTTTTTAACCGCGAGATGAAGCGGTCTCATCTGCTTCTTGACCGATTCGACAAACTCCATGTCGATCGTGTTGCCAGAGATGTCTCGGACGTAGAAAGCGTTAACGGATTTCTGTCCTTGCGTTTCCACGTCTGCTCGGACAATGGTTAAGCCGTTCTCTCGAAGAACTCGAGTTATGTCGGAGAGTAGGCCTACCCTATTCTGGGCGCATAACTCCACCTTAACTCCCTGCGATATCGGACCAAATAATTGACCCTTTGGGTCAACTCCTTAGCCACTCGACCACAAACATGTGGGTATCAAGATTGTGTTTATATTAGAAAGAGGGCACATGACTGGCATTATATATGTAATGTTACCTCGCAAACTCGACGTTCTATTGCAGCCTCCAAGCATTTTACAACCCTTTCTTTCTCTCCCTCTTTGTTCAATGCACATCCATCCACGTGCCGAATAAAGTATTCCTTCGTCTCAAAAAGAAGAAGATTGTACATGATACATGAAATTATATATGGGGCATTGATAAATTAATTAAATTACCTGAAAAGCATCAGCTCCATTGGAATAGACGGAGGCGTGGAAGATCAAGTACTGCATGTCAACCAACGTGCAAACCGTATCGAACATTAGCCTTCTCCGGTCTTTGCATTTCACTGCCACGATAGAATACCCTCTCTCCTCGTTATTCTCTATCGAAACCATCCTTCTCTTATTTTGACCACATCCTCTTCTCCTAGCCGGCGGCAGCGACACGGAAGTGGACGGAGGCTCCATCAGCGACGGCCCTTCAAAGTCCCTCACAGAGAGCATCAGCTGATGCAGCCTTCTCTCCACGTTAGTGTTCATGCACGTGGTACCTTGCCCCGCAAGAAACCACTTGCCCTCGTTGTTCCCCTTGTGACCCACGTGCGTGGCGTTGGAGGATGGATCGTCTGTGGCGCGGGGCACCATGGTCAGGTGGTCCTCGATGGTGGCCAAGCGGGCTGGGTCATGGATCGGGGTCTGGGTCGAGTGGTCGGAGACGTAGGCGATGCAAGCCAGACGGGCGTTGTGGCTCCAAGCGTGAGCCTCGTGGACATTGCAATGCAAATCGGCTAAAGCCGCTGATATCTCCGAGAAGAGACCCGGTCTGTCCGTACCGGTTAACTCTATGGCCGTGTGTTCGTTGTGATCGACGGGCGATTCCAATGAAATGTTCGCATTGTTCGTATTCTTGGCCTCTACGATAGTAGGGCTTGCTTAAGTGACTTATAAATATTAAAGCTTGATCAAACTACGCACACTACTTAGCACGCATCATCTAGCAAAGTTGTATTGTCCAAAAATGGACTATTTGTAGGAAGAGGATACCTCGATAAGGGGCTCTACAAACTCAATGTGGTTATATCGATGGTACTTAAGGTTCGTCCCAAGGGAATGGAATTTTGTTTCTAACAATATTTCTAAAAATCTAGTGAACTAAATCAAGATTCAAACTTTTGATTATCAAAGAGGATGGGAAAAACAAAGTTGGATTCAATATCAAAAGACGTTATGGGAATCGGTATGAACTTAATTCGATGAACAAGCATTAAGAATATGATTATGTGATTTATATGCATTCCGCCTTTTCACTCGGTGGAAAGATCGCTCACACTGATATATGTGATTTGAAGTTTGTACAAACAAGAGGTGGTAAAAAGTATTTCATCACATTCATTCATGATTATACAAGGTACTGTATAATATATCTTTTAAGAAGTAAAGACGAAGCTCTAGATGCTTTTAAAAGGTATAAGAATGAGGTTGAAAACCAACACACTGCTAGAATCAAAATGATTCGAAGTGATAGAGGTGGAGAATATGTATCACCTTTTGAGGA